TAAATTAAAGCAGTGATTAAATAAGCTCATATAAAATGTAATTAAATTAAAAAATCACAGCACATTATAGAGAAAAATAGGAACCAGTTTCACAAAAAAGAGATTATATATATATTTATATATATTTTTTTGTTTTGTTTTTACCCTGTGGAAACAAATTTTCTACGAAACACAAAACCTTCATAAGTAACTGTCAAAATGAAAACCATTTCTTACTCCATTCTTGCATTTTTACACAACCCTTAACCCACCTGGGGAACATATCCAGAAATTAAGTCTTCCTTGAGCAACAGAGCAGTTCTGCCAAGAAAATAAACCCCAAACCAAAGGGGAAGGGAAGGGAACATCCCAAACATACAAACTACAAAATAAATAAGAATTATAAAGTTTTTTTAAAAGTAACCTTAACAATTATCAAACTAGTAAGTTCTGCCTTATCACATAGACTCTCTATACAACATAACCCTAAAACTTTATTACTATGAGGTATTTGGAGAAATTGGTAAAAGTGATGCACGGCCTGCCTGGTGAAGGGACCCAGGGAAATGGAGAGGACCTCGAGAGGGAACAAGGAGGAGCTTTGGTTTATCAGCAAGAAATTGGGGGTGGGGGGAAGTCATCCTTTGGTATCAAAGAAAGTTTCATTGCATGGTTGCACGGAAAAAGCACCACGGTGAATAATTATTCCTTTTTTTTTTTTTTTCATTAGTGGCCTTTCTAAGAGGCTGAGGTATTCAAAGAGTATAAGGTGAGAGAGGTTAACAGCGGTTTAACACTTTGGTTCAAGCAAGGCACTCATCCTAGGAGTTTACAAAGTTTGCAACATGTTTGCCTAGAGATTTACAAGAAGAACTAGCAGTAATAAGAGTAGTATTTCCTAACGTTGTTGTTACCGTTACCTTATCATTATTAAGAATGAAGACAAGTTTACACACTGAGTGAAGAGTGAGGAGGGGAGAGGAGGTGGGGGAAGGGTGGGGGCGGAATTCCCTCTGCAGACCAAGGCCGGCATGAAAATATCTTTGGTATTCTTTGGTATCATCAATGTGATTAAAATCACCAATGGAAATTGAGTGAGGTAGCGTCTTTGGTTCACACTATAAATAGTATATCTTTACACTTTTTTTTTCTTTTTTTTTTCTTTTTTTTAACACGTGGAAGTAGCTATTTCTTACCTTCTGCTTCTTTGTCCTTACTATTTAGGAAATAGTTACCAAATGTACTGTAAAGCTAACCACACCACAATAATAATCCAGAAGGCCAAATGTGTCTCAAAACAGCCTCTGGCATTTGAATGCACCCTAAACAACTAGATAGAAAAGGGAGAAGTGCTTTCTCTTTGTTTGCTAGATGCATAGTTTTCATCCTTTATGTACAAAGAAGGGAGGAAGTTCTTGGGAAAAATGTCTTTATAGCTCATGTGAAAATGTCCTAGGACTCTTTGGTATAGCAAAATTTGCATTTAACCTGCAAAAAGATGGGTTATTCACCTGGGGTAGCAATGGGAGTGGAATGAGTCCAAATGTAGCATAGTGCTTTTATAGTTTCCTGGAAAACTAATTACACTTTTGGGGGGCACAATGAGTGACATGTTCAGTTAGAACTTCTGGACTTCCCCATACATTTTCTTTGGTCTTTGGGGTCTATTCCAGCTGTATCAGGGATTGAACTACTGAGTTCCTGACATCCAGAACTCTCTAACCTGAACATTTACTGTAGTCTGGGTTTTTGTGTTGTCCAGACTTCATACCTCTTGGCCCTCTTTTAGGAAAGCTTCCAATTATGAGAGAACCTGAATGATGTATGTCCAAAAACAAAAAACAGACTAACTTCCATTCTACCAAAAAAAAAAAAAAAAAAGGATCATTTGAAGTGCAGTTTTGTTATTTATAAACATACAAATGAAAGAGCAAGATATCTTTTTCAGTTGAATTTTTGCTAAAGGATCGAGAAATGAAAAGTGAACAAATGGCACGTGACCTTCTCTGTTAAATGTGGTAGGTTCAAAAACAGGAGCCATAAATTAATGCTACACTAAGGAGGAATGGAAGCATTTTTTACTACCTGCCAGTTCAGAAACACATAAAGAATCAGTCATACATGATGGGGTAAGTGTATTGCTTGTGAGGAGCTGCTTGTTCATTATGATTTCTAAAAAGAAAAGGTTGTGTGTATGCTTTAGTAGTTAAGTAAAAAAAAAAAATTGCTTTTCAGGCTCTGATTTGTGCATCTGTTTATGAGAAAATATATCTCTAGGCCCTGAAATTGCGTAATGGGTGCAAATTCAATGCTGGTATGAAAATCATCTTTGGTGTCAGCAAGTAAGATAACTGGTTATTTTTTTTTTAAAAAAAATTGTGGTTGGATATTTAATGTGTAGTGATATTCTTTGAGACTGTGTCTACACAGCACCAAAATAATTGGTTGAAATGCAAAATGCAGTTGGATTAATTTTGAGGGTAGTACAGTAAAAAAGAAAAAGACCAACAATGGTTGTCTGAATTCAGTTTTTTTTTCTTTTTCTTGGAGTACTAAAATTTGGTAAGATTGTGTGTAGACACAGTCTGAATTTCCCTGCATTTTAAATTCTCATGCTTTAAACAAATAAGGCTTTCCTCCCTCCTAAATTATAAATACATTATATAGCTGTACCCCCACCTCCCTCCATTCCTGAAGAGAGAAAATGCTATTTATGTTTTTTCCTTTTTGTTTATGTCCTTGATAAGATTATACTTTTAGTAAATCTTGAAGGGTGGCCATTTAAATAGTCTCTCAACAGCTGAACTATAATTGTGCCATATTTAGAAGGGAAAATTTTAAGCTGAAACTTTGGATGAAATTTTTAAAAAATACTAAGACAAAATATGTCAAGGCAAATGTAGTATTCCATTAAAGGAGAAGTACATGTAGTTTCCTTTTCTCAGTCTACAGCAGACTTCAGGAGAGATAGACAGATGGCCTGTTGGTTTAGCTTCAGCCCTCCAGGTGCCTGACTGTTTTAAACACAGATAAGATGCTGAGATTTGATCCTAAGGAATTAGGTTTTATGTCAAGATAATTTAATTTTTTTTCTTCAGCATTTGAAGTGAATCTCAATAAGCAATTCATTGTTAGGATGATAATTTTTAGTTTTATATTTCTAGATAGATGTGGTAATTAACTAAGAGTATCCAATTCTTTACCTAATGGTAGTACAGACATCTATTTATATAAGTTATGATTCAAGAGAAGTTTTTGGGAATCAAGTKATTCACAAGGGTACCACTAGTACAACATTATTATCTTATTATTTTTGCCTTGACTTACATGGCCTCAATTGAGTGATTTGAAGAAACAGAAATTTAAAATTGTATATTTGGAAGCTCAGGCCTAATTTTTAATCTGCCTCTGGAATCTGTTATAAAATTTCCAGTTTCATGCAGTAGCAAGAAAGAATGTAGTATGCTTTGAAGGCTATGCTTAGTGAAATAAGTTGCATAATACTAATAGAACCAAAAATCTTGTGTTCCATTAGAATTCTGGCTTTCTCTATGCAGTTCCACCAATTCCAACACTTCTCGGTAGCACATACTGTCTTATAGATGTCCAAGTCATAAAGTGTCTGAGATTGGTAATAAAATCACTATGATTATTTTTTAGGATGATTACAAATTCTTAGACATTAATTTTAATAATAATGTTAGTCTGCTCACCTTATTTATGTTTGTAAAAAAATTTAAAGATATTTGGTACCAAATGCATTAAGCAAATTGAAGTCAAATTAATCTAAGTTCTTTTACTAAAACTCGTCACTTTGGCATGTTCACTTTAGCCACTTTGAATAAAGTTTCTAATTTAGTTGCCCTTGTTAAACTTAGTTTTCTAGTGGTGCAAATGGGGTCCTATTTTAGAAGGATCCTTGAGTTTTCTCAGCTATGTACAGATTATGGTATTGTGTCCATTTTTCTATGTAAGTGACATTTATGAATCCTGGAGAGGGGTGTCCCACCTGGATGTACATGTGTACTGCATCGACCTCTCTGCCGTGATATTAATTGCTTCCCTGAAGCTACATTCTTTCTTGCCATTTCTGAAAACTCATATTTCAAATGCTTCAAGAGTCATAAATAATAGCTGTGGATCTATGTGGCATGTGTATTCCAGCGAGATCAGTTCATACGTATAACTTTACATAGTATCTTGTGTAAAAATAGCTTTGGTTATTAAAATCATTGCAATAAAATACCTGCACTATAATATCAAGTGTGTTCTTTGGTACCTAGGTGATTTTTTTTTTTTTAATGGATGGACTCTTGTTTCATTTCTTAAAAAATATCTGAACATTCCTTAACAAACAAAGAGAATGCACTGGTTTAGGTGTCATTCAAATTTTCCTTGCTGGGTTTGAATCTGCATTTAGGTTGTGAGCCTGGCAGGTTCAAACACTGGGCTAGACGAGCAAAATCACACTCTTAATCCAATGAACTCAGACAACCCCACACCATATTGGTTGCACTCCTACAGCACAACTCTTCCTGAAGACCAGCCCTGCCTAAGTTTTTAACCACTGGTGGTGTACGTGGTGTGTGTGTGTGTGTGTGTGTGTGTGTGTGTGTGTGTGTGTGTATGTGTGTGTGTGTGTGTGTGTGTGTACATGCGGGTGTACCCACACACAGTACTGAGACACCATACACCTTCATGGTACAGTGGAACAGATAACGATCTTAAAACTGTCCACACAATGGCTCAAAATCACTATGCTCCAAACCACTAAACAGCCAAGCACAGCAAGAATGATCAGGGATTGAAGGTGTGAGATCCAGTGTTTTCCCACTCATAACTTCTTGCCGAGTSGTCGCCCTGCTGAAGTGTGTGTCTCCGAACAAAGTCAGAATGCAGGTGAGCTAAGTCTTTGGTTTCTTTGGACTATAAATATCACTTTTTTTTTCTTCAAATATTTCTAAGTATAAACCTGCTATCTTGAGGTCCTGGTCTTTAAAAATTTTTTTGTTTTGTTTTTTATTTAAAGCTTTTCCACCGAGGTTTTAGTTTGTGGTTCTTTCTTCATGCTTTGGTACAAGTGCTTGATGAAGAAGATGAGTTGCCTGAATTGGAGCTGCCCTCGTCCTGCCACTTGTCCAGACTCCTCCTCCTTGCGTTCATGAAGAAGTTGCTGACCGTGCTCAGCTCCAACCCCAGCTGCTGGGAAATGGTGATTTGCAATTCTTTGGATGGACGCTTATTTTCCTTGAATATTGCATGTAGAGTTCGACGCTGGACATCTGTGAAGACCAACCTGGGCTTTTTGGGTGTGTTGCCTCTATCTTTCCCATGTTCTTGCTCTTTCCTTTTGCATGCTGCAAAGAAACAGAAGATGTTAGAACAAATTACCTGGGGGATCAGGAATAGAAGGACTGGGCCAATAATTTTTTTTAGCCATTCCTGATGGCCTGCTTTCTCTCTGCTGAAATCTGATTGAAATGCCACAGAGGGGTCAAAGGAAAGTATAGGAAAAGAACAGAGAACTGGGACACAGGTAAGGTGTACTGGATTAGCTCCAGCATCTAAGATCTTAGGCATGGGTTCCATCTTTGATGGGTATCTGCTTTTTGACTTATGTATATCAGATAATTCCATCTGGGCCTCAGATTCCTCATTGTAGAGTACAAACCTCTTAATTAATGAACTGATCACTTTAAACTATGATTTTTCCCTCTGCAGAGTGGATATAAGAATAATTACCTTGCGGGTTATACTATGAAATAACATATAAAAGTTCATGGTAACTGAAATGCTTCACTAATGCAAGGTATTATCAGCAAGAACTGATTTTGGGTAGACCTTAGAGGTTTATGGTCTGCTTTTGGTAGAAGAGCAACAGTCCAACTGAGAGTCTAAAGGAATAAAAACGAATTGCATTTGTTTCCCTGATGATCTTTTTTCTGTTCCAGGAAACTCTGCACATAAGATTTTGGGGCAAAAGTTGTGGCTCAGTTGGTAGTTTGCCTAGCACAGATGAGATTCTGAGTTTGATGAGATTCTAGATTTGATTACCCAGAATTGAGAAAGGAAAGAAAAGAAAAGGGAAGGGAAGGGAAGGGAAAGAAAAGAAAAGAAAACTCTAGCCATTTTCATTTGGGGGTTTCTCTGTATCCATTTGGCTTCTTGTATAAGTCTTGCTCTTGGAGTCCCCTCCTCCCTTACCTGGTTTCCCATTGAGAGACCCAGTCCTTGTGCCTGCCTTTCTGGTCCTGTATCATGAAGCTGCTTCTTTGATGCTAGAGCTATTCCAGTACACCATTCCAGTGTGGCCCTTGRGCCCCCATAGGTTGGTGCTAGACCAGCATCTTTCTCATCTTTCCAGCCTAATGTGACTCACTGATTTCCTCATGCCAAAGGGCACTAAGGGCTACATTACTCACAACATCCAACCCCCTCCCCATCTCCATTATCAATCAATCCCTAACCATACACCCCAGTAGAAACTGTGCTCTATTCGTGTTGATACAGCTTGAAAACAAGCCTCCTGTGCCCTGACTCCTATCAGACTGTTGCCTTTTGGGCCCCTACATAGGCGCTCTGGAACAGCCACTGCCATCTTCACACTGGCTGGCTACACCTGTCTCTCCAACCACAAGAAGCAGTAGAGCATGTAGACCTCCCTGGGGGGTCAGGACTGCCACTCTCACACCTTGTACCTCTAGTTGGCATCCTTGTCTGYGGCCGCTTCCTTTTTCACCTCACTCTCTGTGTGCTGTGGGTTCTCAGTCCCTGGCTAGTTGTTTCACCAGCTTTGGCTAGATTCGGGCTCTGTGCTTTCTCTAAATGGCTTGCTCCTCTGTCTAAGCCTCTACCTTTCATTCCTAGTTATTCCAGATCCCAGATTTCCAAGTTCCTCTACAACCTAGGTACCTGCCATACAAATTAGCTCTGCAATAGATCAGCTGATGTGCTAGTAGGTGAAAGCTGAAGAAGCCTCCAATCTTTGAAGTCCAATCAAAAGATCTCCAATTATTTTTAAATAAAAACAATGTGTTATTTAGTTTAAAAAAAATGTTCACAAGGCCAAGGGTGTAGCTCAGTGAAGACATGCTTAAAGTATGTGATGCCTTGAGTTCCATACCAAGCACCTAAAATTTTTTTTTGAGTATAGACTCCCTTATGTTATTTATAAATTAGACATGTGTTACTATACTACTATATTATGCACTTAATAAAATACAGGAATACATAAAATGTAGGAATTTTAAAAGGGGTAACACAGACACGAATAGACATAGGAATTCTCTTCTCCAGATACATCAGCTTGYCTAGGCTCTGGAATGCATTCACCCCACTTAAAAGACCATTGGTCCAATCATTAGTAAATACTAGAGAAAGAGCTTCAGAAGTAAGATTCCCTAAATAGAGTTCTTCCTTCTGGGGCCTGCAGCTTTCAAGGAGCAACCAAATTAAGTCCTTGAAAAAAAAATGAGTAGATTAAAGTCAACTCGAGTTAGTTTGAGTTAACCCCAGTAGGAGGAGACTGGTATATGATGACCATGGCTGACTAATTCATTCATTCACACTCTATGAATATAATCCAGGCTCAGCTCATAAGAAGATCTGTCTAGTGGTCATGTAAGCAAATAATTACAAGCATATTATTACCTCTCTTTGAGGTTAATAAGAAAGGCATTTCAGAGAAGTTACTAAGATGAGCCCTAAAGGCTAAATGGATGTCTGCTGGTAAGAGAAGTGGGTGTCCTTCCCAGCTGAGGAGCAGCATTGGTAAGGGACTGAGATAGAGCACCATCATGGTATTTGTGGCTTAAGTGTGCATGTGAGGGGAAGAGCCAAGGGAGATAAACTTCCATCAGACAGATCATATTTGAATCATCTTGTGGGTAAGGAGGAGTTACTGAAAGGAGGTAATATGATTAAGTTTGGGATCAGAAAACCCTTCTGGTGGTGTTGTGGGGGACAACCTGGAAAGCAGCAAGACATTGTGGTGAATGATGTCCTACTCTACTCTGCTTCCTTTGAAGGCTGAGGCCCTCATACCTGTTGCTGGTGACTCTCAGCTGAGATCTCAGCTGAGATCCCTGGGTTGGGATGGGTGCTTCTCACATCTAGTGGCAGGTGGGAGCAGTAGGAGATGGCAGGGTGAGTGGTGGTGGTCAAGGAGAGTGGAATTTGTTACTTTAAGGTCCCCTCACCTCAATCCCTTACATCAAGTTTGGATAAGTCGTAAGGGTCATACAGTTCCAGAGCACCCTGGAGCATTGGTTGAAGTTATTCTTGCAACTACAGTGCAGTTCAACTTACTTTCTCCACTCCTCACAAAGGTATTAATCTCTCTCGCATGCACTCTCCAACAACCTTCCCATGGAAATCTCAGAAACTTAAAGTTTGCTTCCCAGAAAGCCCGACCTAAGAYAGAAGACAGAAAACTGCAGTAATGAGTACCCCAAATTAGACAATGGCAGTTGAGGACAGAGAAGCCCTTCTTAGGAGACAGAATTGAGAGGAATAATAACTTGGCTGTGATGGTAGAGTTTAGATAGAACATCTCCCCGTATCTGGTTGGAGGGAAGTATAGGGACCTTTGGGAATGCAGAGATGCATTTTATGAGGGCAGCAATTACTTCTATATCGGATGAAATGTACTGGAAGTGCTTGCAGGACATTCTGTTAAAGATCTTCAATAGGTGGTCATCCAGCAGACAGTAGGATGAATGGGGTTTGGAGCTCAGGGGAGAAGTCTGGGCTAGAAATATAGACTTGGACGTCATTAGGGCTCTAGATGATAAATTACACAACATGCACCTATGGAAAAGTAAATAACAGTGTTGGTTGAAGCCTGGACTTRTCTATCATTCAAAAGGAAGAGCTAAGGGAAATCACATAGATCCGTTTTCTACCTAACCAGATGTACTTTTAAAGGACTCCAGTCTGGTCTCAGTGCTTAGCAGGATTGAGGGGGCTAAGGCTWCCCTGGAGCCAGCATTTCCCAAATAGCATCAGAGGAATGATTGGGTCTCTAGCAAAGGTTCTGTGAAAAGATGGTTTGCAGATCAAGAAATTCAGAGAAAACTATTAAAACTGTTAAATACAGCCTCTTCCTCAAAATTCATAATGTGTGTTAAAGCGCACACACACACACACACACACACACACACACACACACATATATATATATATATTTTTTTTTTCAGAGAACATTGACTAATGTATTATATGGTACTAAGGCTGGGGGGACTCAGTTTGGAAGTTCCTGTCCTAAGATCTCAAGCACTGTAGCTACTACAATGCCAAAACCCTGAAAGCAAGATTTTGTTGGAGCAGGGACCTGGCTGACTAGTTTTCAGTTTCCAGGCCATCCTAAATAGTGCAGGTAGAAGAGAAACCTACAGCCCATGTGGGGATTGGGGGTTGTGTCAATGAATAAATGGATGCAGTTATATCTGGAGAGAACTCTGCAGAAGTTGGAGAGAAGGCAGAGATAGCAGTAGAGTGGAGAATAGACTAAACCTTGTTGAGGATTCCCTGTGACCAGAGGAGGTGAGGAAGAGCAACCTATAGAAATAAAGTCATACTTCTAGAAGCTTTCACAGGACTGTAACTGTTAGAACCTTTGAGAGCAGTCATGCTTTGGAATGTTTGATGAATGCATTTTGGGGTAGAGATTATCCATCATAAGGGAGAAAGCCATCAAATGGAGGTTGGAGGGTCTACACACATGTGCAGGGTGGAGATATAAAGAGTAAAGTGAAAGTGGGAAAGAACAAGCGCTGATGCTGAGGGAATAGCAATGCAAGTATTTTAGGTGGCAGTAGTGTTTTCTGTATGGATATATAGTTTCCATTAAGAAGAGAGAAATATTTATCATAGAACTGGATTAACTGTGAAAGGTAGTACTGAAGATGAAGAAGATCCATCATGAATCACCTCCATGAAGGTGGGCAAGCAGGTATATTTGACAGATTCCGTGGCCAATTGTAGTGGAAGCTGTCTCAGACAGTCAGGTGATTTTTGATCTCTATGTGTAAGGTTGCCAATTGCAAGTGCCATGAAGCAGGATGAAGCAGACCTGGAAGATGGTAAAAAGTCAAAGAATGTGCACAACAGAAGTAAAAGGTGATAAAGAAAAAAAAAATTAAAAAGAGCATGAGGACATGGGCAAGGACAGAGGCTTCTATTTCAGGCATGCCTGGGGACTTGTTCTGCCCATAATAGGCAAGGCAGGACCAAGTGTATTTCAAGAAATGGATGCAGTTATGTTTGGGGGATGAATCTTCAGGATGTTAAAAGGTACTCTGTGAACAATGAGCTATGAGGTCAAATCAGTTAATGATTACACAAGCTTCTTTAATGC